GTAAAGGATGGTTCGTATTCATCAAAATCTGTGTCTTTGGAAACGTGGACTTTCTATCTACCAAAATAGAAGAGCAACTTCCCAAGATCTAGAATTCTATTAAGCCCAGTTGCCATTAGCTCACTCACAAGCCTGGTTTGAGCCTGAGATCTTCATTTCCTGAAACAAAAGCCCTTCCTTTTCCCTGTGGTTTCAAGCTTGGTATATTCAGGTGTTTCATCAGAGCAGCAAGAAAGTGTATTCTCTTGGGCCACTGCATGTGTAGTAAGTGCCTCTGAGAGCCCTTTCAATTCCCAAAAGTCGTTGACTTCACAACGTCTCTTTAACTAGTTCCTTTAATCTAGCCTTCTGACTGCATTAAAACCCAGCTGTACAGTGTGTTTTGTCTTTGTCCAACCTGGTGATGGTTAAGGGCACAGGTATGAAAAATGCTGACAGCCATGACAACTTTCATCCTTACACCAGGAAAAATATTGTACACAGCTCAGATCACAAGCTTGCCTGTTGAATGATGCAAGGAGGATCAGACTTCTCCTCTGTCTTGAGTTAGTATTGAAGCATTCCCTCCCGCCCCACTCCATTGTTGGTGCCCCTACTAAACACCCATGTTTATGCCTAACTCCTCAAACTCCTTGCTGGCAGCTCTCCCTTAAAAACTTCCTGTGTTTCAACGGACCAGGGTCAATTAGGTCACCTGCTGCATTCCATTCCATCCATTTGGCACGTGGGCTGTGGATCTTAAAATAAAATAAATATCTTTATATTGTTAAGTGTGTGTGTGTGTGTGTCACAGTGGTTTGCAAACTTTCTTTCTTACATCTGGAAATTCAGTATGTAAAGGAAATAAAAGAGCAGCCAGCTGAGAATGAAAGGGGACTGAGAATGAAAAAAGCATCCCCCCCCACCTTAGAATGCAGCCTATTTGAAGCCCCTTTTGATTCATAGCCAATTTTTGTAAATAGTGCATGGGTATATGAAAAGGAGATGTAGTCTTATTCTCTCTCACAACTATGTATATATGTATAGACATGTATATAATCTACCTTATTAATTATGTTACTTAGAGCTTTTCTATCTTTACTTATTTTATTATTTTTTAGCTCTTGATCTGTTCTACATAAGAGGTAAATTAATTAGTCATATTTCCTGTTGATTTCTCCTTGGATCTGCTATTGTTTTTCCTTTATAAATTTTAAGTGCTATGCAATTTGGTGTATAGATATTTAGAAGTGTGAGATCTTAATTTTAGACTCATGCTTTATTGTTATAAAGTGTCTGTCTTTGTCTCATTTAATGCTTTTTCCCTGAATTAAGCTTTGTTAAAGGTAAAATTTTGATATTGGCTTCATTTGCTTAGTATACCCTCATCTATGCTTTTATTTTCAGTCTAAATCACTTTGCTTTCATTATCTTATGTATACAGCATAGAGTTGGGATTTGACTTGATATTCCATTTGAGAAAAAATTTTAATTAATTGGTAAGTTTAGTCTTTTTATATTTATTGAAATGTAAATTATGTTTTATTTTAGTCCACCTATCATATTTTGGTTATGCTTTTAGTTTATATTGTTCATTTAACTTTTTGTCACTATAGGGCCTATGTACTCTTTGGTATGCATGTTTTTGAATTTGAAAGGCTTGCATTTTTATTCCAGTGGATATCTTAATAACTTTATAACTATATATTTTTTAGATATTATTCAAAGCAGTAAGCAGTCTATTTCTTGCTCCTCTTCTCTCATTCCTGAGTTACATTATTTCTGTAACGCTTACCGTGTTTCTCTTCTCTCTCAACTTCTATTGGTTGTTTCATTGCTACATTGTCAGGATTTACAATTTACTCTGTGTTCTATGACCATAATTCTCATATTTGTTTTAGACTTAATTCTATAGTTAAACGGATTCAAGGATCATTGTCAGGTTTTTTTTTTTGTTGTTGTTGCTTTGTTTTTTTGGTGGGGTTTGTTTGTTTGTTTTGATCCTAAATTCATCTCTTGTTTGGCTGAAGTTCATTCTCTACTACTGCCTTACATAAGGGTTCATGAAAACCATATTGCATGCAAGTTCAAAAATGTTGTATATCAGATTTGTATTTAAACAAACTTCTTTGTTATAAAATTCTTGGGTATAAAATCTTTGGGGTCACATTTTGATCTTTTTTCCCTTTACAAATGTCTTGATCATTTTTACCTAGTTACCCAAAAGATTTTCATTAGCTTTGAAATCCAACAGCCTTTCTACTATAGGTCTTAGTTTGACTATTTATTCTGTGCCATTTTTTTCCTTTGGGTTATTATATGTACTTATGTTTATAGTTTGGGTTTTCTTTTATTTCCGAAAAGTGTCTCAAAATATTTATCTAAGTTTTTTTTTCTGCTTCAATATCTAGATTCTTTTCTTGGTTTTATTCCTTGATTATGCATACGTTGGATTTCTTTTGTTTCTCTTCCATATATATAATCTTCTCTCTAATCCTTGCTGACCATTTCCATTTCATTCTATTTGCTTTTCTTAATCTGGTATTCTATGACTCTTTAAAAATGCTTTATTTTTTTATTTTTGTCCTTAACAAATGTTTATTCTTCTTTGTGCTGTTTCCAAGTTTGCCTTCATTTCTGAAATAGTTTAATACTTTTCCTCCTTCTCCTTCAATTTATGTTTAAGCTCTTATAGTGGTTTTGCTTCATTCTTAAAACTTTCAAGTAAACAGAGTTAAGAAAGTTGAGTTAATCATACTTATCAGTTCAGGCCACATTATCATAATTGATCATGCAAGGTTAGTGTTATTATTTTCCTTTTTATTTCTATTCCTATCCTTCAGATAGGCAACCATTCACATGTGGTAGATGTGCATCTTTTTATGTGTTTTTATAAAATGTCTATTTTTATGTATATACTTTCTAATGTACATACATGATGTCGATCATACATCTATTTTTTTTTTCTACTTAGCACGATGTAGGGTCTGTGCACGTTGCTTTGTGGCCTTCCAATCAGTTGTTTCTAACTGAGGTATCATGGTGGATGTGCTCTCCCATTGTTTACCTATTTACTCTCTTGGTGATAAACACTAGAGTGCTTCCAACTCCTCCACCACAAATAGCCCTGCTTAGTCCATTTGGGCTGCTGTAGCAAAATACCATGAGCTGGGAAGCTTATAAAGAACATATTTCTTTCTTTCTTACAGTTCTGGAAGCTGGAAGTCCAAGATCAGAGTGCCAGCCCAACTGGGTTCTGACGAGACCCTCTTATTAGAAGAAAAGTTATACCTTTAGCCTTTAAAAATTACGGCTATAGGTTTGGTTAAAACTTTCTTTTGCTTAATGGCAAGTTTTTCAGATGAAATTTTTAAGCTGGCGTTTTTTCCTGTTCCCTTCTTTTCTCACGGTGTCTTTGCATGCTGGTTCCTTCCTGATTGATTTCTCATCTTTGAAGCAGGCGAGGTTTCTCAGGTTTCCAAGACATACTACTCACAGAAGGTTTGTGCTGAGGAGGGGCCAGGACCAGGAGCCAGCCCAACGAAGTCCTTAGGATACGAAGGTTGTGCATGAGTGCCCTTGACTCCTTCTTCCAAGAGGCCGGCAGTTACAGGGCTGCTCACATTGCTGTCTCTTGTCGTCTTGCCTCACCCACAGAAGGCGCCCTGCGCACATGGCAAGTCTGAGCATTCCTCCGTCATCGGTTCCTTCCCTCCCTCTCTTTTATAATAAATCAGGTCCATGGAAGAGCCACTGCTGCCAACCCATATAGTACTTGATTCGCTGCTTCAAATGCATGATTCTTGGTTTTGCCCCTAAGGTAAGCCACTTAATTGTGTGAAAGTGTGCTTTCTTGTTTTCTGAGATCGATAGCCATCGACATCTTTTATCAGATTCGTTAAGCCTCAGTCACATGCATACCTTTGAAGAGGCCGAATTCAGTTCTACCTGAATCATACGGACTGAATATGGCAAAAGGGCACTTGCCCAAATAAAATCATTGTGCTGATTTCAGAAAGGTATAATGCATGCTGAACAGGAAAGCGGGGCGGGGGAGGGGGGGAGGGTTCGAATCACTTGTTGCATCAACAAATGCATCTTTTGAAACATTTCTCCTTTCCCATACGTCTTGCAGTACAGGCACTCATGGATTTCATAGCAGCAGCTTCCTATCTAATCTTCTTGCCCCTCATCCACCCTCAAGTACTTTCTAGGCCTTGCCATCACATTACTCTTCTCAAAGCATTGTGTTGACCATTTCACCCTCCAACTCAAACTCTCTCAGGAGCTTTCTCCTGACCCCCACATTCCTCGGTTTGGCGTTCAGAATCTTCCGCGGTCTGGCTCCCACAGATTTTTCCAGGCACTTGTTCCGCGTGGCAGCGAATCTGCAGTGCCCACACACTGCACACATCACACGTTTTCCTTAAGATGCCTTTGTTCTATTGTGTCTTCTACCCCGCCACCATTTCTCTCATCCTGAGTCTGATCTCAGATGATGGGCCAGAAACTACTATATCTGTCCCTAATATCTGTTCTCTTTTTCTTTAGGGTCAGAACTATTTAGCGGGGCACATGGCGACTCAGTAGAAATGATATGTGGGTGGCTCTGTTGGTTGAGACTCCAACTCTCGATTTTGGCTAAGGTCATGATCTCACAGTTCATGAGTTCGAGCCCTACATCGGACTCTGTTGGTAGTATAGAGTGTGCTTCAGATTCTCTCTCTCTCTCTGTCTCTCTCAGATTCTCTCTCTCTCTCAAAATAAATAAATAAACTTAAAAAAAAGTGTTAAGTTCTGACCAATAAGGGGTAAGTGTAGTGATGTTATACAACTTGTGCAAGGTTGTAGAGGGGTGCGGCCTTTTCTGCTGGCTGGAAATAAGCATGTGACAGCTGAAGCTTGAACAGCCATTATGGGTCATAAGGTAGAAGCTGCATTTTCAAGATGGCAAAGCCACATGATAGAGAGAGCCTGTGTCTGTGTTGATCAGAGAGCCACCATACCAACGCGGAACCGTCTACACTTACATAAGAGGAATGCATTTTATTTGATTTAAGCTACTGCTATTTTGAGTTTTTAACTGCTACAGACACCAATCCCCCCATTAAAATACATTGTTTAGGATAATTTTCTTGTGGCCAATGATAGGAATCCATTGAAAATCTAAGCAAAATGGCAGGATTAAGCATACAAGGATTTGTCACAGAACCTACGAGTAGAAATGAAGAACGTCTCAGAAATAGACTGGAGCCCGGGATTGTGGGGAGTCCAAGAAGTCCTCTCATTGTGTCTCACCTCTTCTTCTCTTCTCTCTTACTGCAGGCTTTTACATACCTGGCATAGAAAGTAATAAATAAATATATGTTCAATAGATAGCAATTTGGGTATCTATAGATATGAAGCCAATTACCAAAACTTTCCCTTATGTGTATGTAGCTTGTTAAAGTGACTCTTTTGATGAGAACCATACTTTTTCGAGTCTAAGCTCTTCTGTTACCTTTTTCTCTCAGCTTTCTGATTTTTTGCAGTTGTTTATTCCAACATTAAAAAAAAGGCCTGAAATGCACAGCTGTCCATAACTGATCTAATAAAAGACACTTTTGAGACAGCTCTGCTTTTGTACAGGAGTTGCAGAAGCCAGTTTTTGTGGGAATGCAAACACTGGTTCGCAAATAATTATTTTGCTAGACAAGGAAATGATTGATTATTTTTGGTACATTTTCTCCTGTAAACAGCTCTTTCTTTTTCTCTTTCTTTCTTTCTTTCTTTCTTTTTTTCTTCCACTTTGCATCTTTATTATTTACTGTCTGGGTTCCTGCTTTTACCTAGGTTTTTTGCCCTTGAGCATTTCTTATGTTATCAGCTTAGTGATATGTTTGATAAGATGTTTTATATATTTGATCTAGCACTTTGAGTTGCTTTTGGTGGTGAATCAGCCAGTCTCTAGTCTGCCATACTGCTGGACATGGAGTCTGGTATGCTTTTTAGAGTTTTAACTTCATTCGTTTGTAAGATATTACCCTGTATTCTGAAGACCATGGCTCTAACTTTGGTGATCCAAGCTCCCCGTTGGTAAGAATGAAGACTACCTTTCTACCTTTGTCAAATTGTTTTTTTTGTAAAAGTCTTGTGAGATGATTAGTGTAAAGTTTGTTTTAAACTGGAAAGTACCCTGTACATATACATTTTCTAGACTTGGAAAAACAAAAGAGGCAAATGAGCAATAAAAAGTGGTAACTAATGACTTGTTCAATCTAAAATTTCTAGATACTTGCATTTGTCTCTTTCATTTTCTGACCTCAGGTATGGATGGGAAAGTTTCAAGATTTCTCTAAAAAATACAATATTATCTTACACATTTGACATTGTGTAATTTATTTTTTAATGAAAGAGACAGAAGGCACTGCAAAATCTATCATCATGTTTTTAAAGTTTGTGAAGTGTCTGTCTCTTTAATAGATGGGTGAGCCATCTAACCTAGGATGCCTACAACACTTTATAGATTTTGTAGGCTGAGACTCCGAGTGTCTCACACTTTACAACACACCTTGGTCTCTGTGCTGCAAGGACACTGAAGTGTTATTACAGGTAACTACTCATATGGCTCTTCTCATTCTGAAACTGTGCCGCCAGGTTAAGTATGTGAGGGGCAACACCTCTGAGGACATTCCAAAGAGCCTCTTGGATGGTAGGCAATTTGCAAATGGACTAGCCTGGGACTCAGGCATAAGGCTGCTGCTTACTATTTCCTGTAGATGCTTGATGTCTTAACTCCTATGCAGAAGAGATCACAGGGCCTGTCCTTTCAACATTTATATGCCAGACAATGTGTCGGTATGTATGTCATTTACTCATCTGCATCTATTGAGCCAGTTCTCCTACGTGTCAGGCCTTGTGCTTGTTCTCAAGAAGCTCATAGTTATTAGGAAAATAGCCAAAACCACAATTACCATTCTATGTGATAACTGCTAGAAAGAGACAAGGTCCTATGGGAGCACAGTTAAGAGCACCTAACCCGTACTGGGGTGGGGTAGGGCTACATGGCAAGCAACAGAGAAGGGTTCACTGGAGAGCTTGATGCTTAGTCAGAATAATGGAGGATAAGCAGGAATTAGTTAGGCGAGAAAAAGATGGAGGGTCAGGACATAACAAGACAAAGGAGTAGCGTATGTAAACATGACATGTATGAGAGAGTATGACAAGAATGGAGAACTCAAGTAGTTTGCTGTATGTGGAGTTTACTCATTCCACCTAGTTACAATTATGCTTGTCTCCCTCGCTATGTCTGAGTTCTTGTGGCGAAGACTGTGTGTAATGGTTTCTTTGTCCCCACGTCCAGCAGTAGGCACAGAGATGGAGCACAGTAAATAATGAATAATAGTATTCATTCAGGACATGGCGTGAATGGCAGGGGGTAAGGGAGAATAGTTAGGAAGAAGGTTAATGGAAGAAGCTTATTGTCTAGTGTCAGTGAATAGGAAATGGGATAGGTTTAAGAATGACTTGGGAATTAGAATGGATAAGACTTGCTATATTGGTGAAAGTGAATAATGACTTTTCAGGTTTCTGTTTGGATGCTACACGGATGGTAACAGTAATAATGTTGTTAATAATAATAGCTAATATTCATTAGACATTCTGCATCATCCAGTATACCATTTTACATGTACTAACCCCTTTAATCTCTCACGACTCAGAGAGATATATACTCTTATTATCCCCATGAGAAAATTGGGACTATTAGAGACCAACTTGACCAAAGTCACCCAGCTAGCGATAATGATTTCCATCCCAGAAATTCTGATTGCTATAGTCATACACATAATCTACCCTTCCTTACTGCCTCTAACAGATGTGATCAGTATTAAGAATGATGGTCCTATTCAGTATATCTATCACATAACTTGCATGTCTTTTACTAAATACAGAGACACATATGGTGATCGCCTCTTATTGATCAGATTTTGGGAGCTTGGTTCTGGTTTTTCACTTTTCCTACCTGGAGAATTTAAAGTGCGGTGGAAGTTTGATAAAAGAGTTGACACAAAAAAATGAGAGAAGGCGGGTACAGAAGGGACATTCTCGAACGCTCAAGCTGCTGTTCAAACGATGGAATCTGGTTCTATCAGACTTCCTCTGCTCCCATCCCTAGTCATACCCACACGCACACGTTGTAAGATATACATGGACGCCAAGTTTCAGGTTGGTTCTAGTAGTCCTCAGCTCACATCGTAGGTTCATTTCCCACCTCCTGGACCGTCCAACACGAAGTTAACTCGAGGCCTCCCATCCAGCCCAGGGAAGCTTGGCTCCGAGCCGCGGGTGCTCGTTCCCAGGGCAACCGCCCGCGGAGGCACCTGGGGCACGCTCCCCGGCACCTGCGAAGAGCCCCGCCTGGCGCCAGGGGGCGCGGGAGCGCGTCGACTCCTCCCGCCCCACGCCAGCCCCACGCCAGCCCCGCCCCCGCCCCGCCCCGCCCCCAGTCCCGCCTTCCCTCCACCGGGCCCGGCCGCTCCCGGCTCCGGGCTCCGCTCCCGGCGCAGGCGCAGTCCCGCTCTCCTTCGGCGGCTCCCAGCGCAGTGCGCCCACCTCGGCTGAGTGTAGCGGCGTCGACCGGCCAGCACTCCTCTTCCTCCTCTCGCTGCCTCAGGGCAGGCTCTGTACAGCGCTGCGAGCGCCCCTGAGCGCAGGCAGCGACCGCGGTGGTTTCGTCAGGTGAGTGCAGCCGCGGGAGGGAGAGGCCCCGGACTCGGAGTACCGCCCCCCTCGGCGCCCGCGCGCCCGCCTCCCTCCCGCGAGCCGGCCTGGAGGGGCGGCCGCGGCAGGTGCAAGTGCGGGCGCGGCGCGCGACGACCTGGCCCGGCCGCCCCGGCCCGGCAGGCGCGCTCCCCCATCCCGGCACGCGGGCTCGGGGAACCCCGGTGGAGGCGGCGGCGGGGTGTCGGCGCCTCGGGGAGGCTGGGGCCGCTGGGGCGTCGGGCGGCGGCTTCTCCCCCGCCCCCCGGACCCGGGCGCGTTACTCATTAACTGCGCGGTCCCGAGCGCCCGCCGCTGTGAGCCGGAATCCCGGTTACCTGCCGGCCGGGCGCGCGCGGCGGGGAGCTGGCGACCTGCGGGCGCGGAGGGGGTGAGGGTCTAAGAGAGTTCTCGAACAAGTGTGCAGCCCCGTGCTGCGCGGGACCTGGAGCAGGGTGAAGCCGTCGGCTTGGACCCGGGGTCGCAGTAAAAGACAAGCGAGGCTCCGTGCCGAGGCGTAGAGGTCATCCTCGGCAGGTTTCGGCGAAACCTGGGGGGCCGGAGCGAGCGCCCGGAGTCGCGCGCCTTAGGGTGGCAGCGCATTTCAGCCTGACTTTTGTTTCGGGGAGTTGAGGAGAGCTGCACCGACGTAATTGTAATTACACTGCCCTTCCAGCGTGGACAACTCTCTGACCGCCCTGGGACCAGCCGCCTCTAATGGACTGTGGAAGTGATGATCTTAGGCGGAATCTGCCGCACGTGAAGAGTTGCCAGTTGTTATGGGATTAAGAAAACAAATCTGTAATGGCTAAAGGGTAAGGTCTTGAAAATTAAGAATGCTGACTTAATCCTGGGCCCTAAGAAGTAGACAGTTTAGTTTCGTGGAAATAGAGCATATTCTGAGGCTACCTGTTTCACACTCCTCTGTTTCCCCTCCAACTCCTTTCAGTGGAGGAAAAAAGCCCTGTAATCGTTTCCCGTGGAATGATTACATAATTGGAGGAGACCCATAAGCGGATTAAAACAAAACTGTTCTATTGTAAATCTATGGAAAGACCCAGTTTCTGTTCAGCATCCTGCTCCTTAATTTTGTTGTCGTAGGGTTTTTGTAAAATGGTGGATGACAAATCAAGGAGAAAAGAGGCAGAATAGATTTGTAGACTGATCACAGTAAATATTTGATATTGTTAAATATTCTACCAGTTTTATGGGGCCTTGTTCTGTTAACATTTGTTATTTATTTACTAGTACTGTGCATTTTGATAGGACTTTTCATGTTTGGACAGACATTGAATCCCAACTGTGGTTTATGTGATCTAATCCTAAAGCCCCTGTGGAATTTATAGAAGTTTGTTTAGCAGTTCTACAAGTTTGCTACAACAGTGCATTTCTTACTACTGGAAGAAACGCTTTTTAATTTTTTCTTTTTCCACTGCAGTAAAGTTATGTATCAGTCCATACCTTTGTTAACCAAAGTGGAAGCTTTAATGTAACTCTTCCTTGTGTGTTTGGCAAGCAGTTAAGCTGTGGTATTGAAGTCCTCTGACTTTTCACTAGGATGGACATTGGCTGTTCAGCTACTGGTTTCTAATTAGATCCAGTTGTACTTTTTGAATTAGTATAGTTATGCATATGCTTCCTTTAATATGCTTCCTTTAACAGATTCCTTTAGTATGTTTTTCCTATAATTTTCTCTAAACTCTCAGTTCGTCACAACACACACCGACATTCCACAGATAATTTTTACAATGCAAGGTTTCTTAGAAATCAAGGTCCCCATCAATTTTTAATAGGCAGAACAAAAACTTGTAGATTACGGTAGTTTTGCATGTATTGTACTTAGTATACCTTTTTCTTTTTCCCTTCCTGAGAGGGACTCACCGAACCAGTTAGTTAGCTAGCGAAATGAAAAATTATTAATCTGTTTTAAAGTTTTAGCTTCATTACTTACCATGCATGTGACCTTGAGTAAATCATGTAATCTTTCTGAGCTTATTTTCTCCATTTGTAAATGGGATAGAGTGAATTTGCTAGCTTTCAACTATTTTCATCTATTTATTTTTAAATACATTTTTAATTTATTCATTGAAATAATCTCTACCCCCAACTGGGGGCTCAAACTCACAATCCCCGAGATCAAGAATTTCGCTGTCTTCCAACTGAGCCAGCCAGGTGCCCCTGGACTGTTTTTGATTTAGTTCAACCTGATATGAATATCGTAATGGTGGGATGAGAATTAAATGGGATGTTCCATGTGAGGTGGGGGGGAAAGGAACAGATACTAGCTTGGTAGTGGGCCATACACTGTGCTTGTTGACTTTTATTACCTTGATTCCTTTGGTTCTCAGGACATTCCTGGGATGTAGATGGTATCACCACATTATACAGATCGGGAAATGGAGGCTCAGAGAGGCGAAATAACTTGCCTGTGGTTACTTAGTTGTTAGTGGTCCTACAGGTCATTAGTGGCAGAGCCAGGATTAAAAACTCAGTGTGACTGCCCAAAATGGAACTCCTAACATGCTTTCTCTTTCCATTCCTTTCTATATCTTCTGTGGAAGAGTTTCATAATTATTGGGAGACCTCAAATAAAAGGTGTTAATGTCATTTGTATTTCTGGCTAAAAAGTATCCAGGTTTTTTGGTGATGGTGATACCACTATTGCTACTATTAATATTGAAATTATAACTTACTCTGTGTCAGCTTCTGGTGTAAACAATATACCAAGTCACTTACTCTTATAGTGACTCAGTGACTTAGGAGTTAGCTAATACTTTATCCCATTTTCTTTTCTTTTTTTTTTTTTTTAGAAAGTATGCAAGTGAGGAAGAGGGGAAAGTGGGGGAGAGAGAGGGGAATAGAGAAAATCCCAAGCAGGCTCCATGCTCAGCAGAGAGCCTGATTTGGGGCTCGATCCCATGGGATCATGACCTGAGCCTAAATCAAGAGTTGGACACTCAACTGAGCCACCCAGGCACTCCTGCTTTATCCCACTTTATAGTTGAGAAGATTGAGACCCTGAGAGATTATGTAGCTTGCTTAAGGTCACACAGTTAATTAAATCATAGGACTAGATGAGAAATCAGGCAGTTTAAGCACTAAGAGCAGTGCTCTTAATCACTTTGCTCTGCTACTTCATGTGTAGGTTGTAATGCTGAAGAACTGTTTTTAATTAAGTTTTTATGTGATACTTAATATTAGTATAATAAGTAATTCTTTATGTGTCACCAGAGATTTTTAAATCAAATATTCATTGAGCATCTACTGTGCAAGTCACAGTGGGGGTTAAAGGAAAGTATTCATGGAGCGTGAAAGCCAGACCTTATAATCATTCCCATATCTTTTATAAGTTCCTCAAAATTTGGAAGGCATATGTGTCTCTCATATATGTGTTATTGTTCTAATTTTTTTCTTGGTATTTGTTTAATTTTTGAGATAGAGCCAGAATGTGAGCAGGGGAGGGGCAGAGAGAGAGAGAGGGAGACACAGAATCTGTAGCAGGCTCCAGGCTCCGAGCTGTCAGCACAGAGCTGGACGCGGGGCTTGAACTCAAGAACGAGGTGAGCCACCCAGGTGCCCTGTTGTTGTAATTTTAATGAGTGCCAAAGAACACAAAGTGCTATAACAGTTGGAGAGTGGAGGGGCGCCTGGGTGGCTTAGTCGGTTAAGTGTCCGACTTTCGCTTAGGTCATGATCTTGCGGTTTGTGGGTTTGAGCCCCGCGTCGGGCTCTGTGCTGACTGCCAGCTCAGAGCCTGGAGCCTGTTTCAGAGTCTGTGACTCCCTCTCTCTCTGACCCTCCCCTGCTCACGCTGTCTCTCTCTCTCTCGCTCTCTCTCCTAGAAATAAGTAAAAAACATTAAAAAAAAAAAAAAGAAATGTAACTGCTACAAACTCTGACTAATTAAATCTATTTAAAAAAAAAAAAGAGTTGGAGAGTGGGGAGAAAGGATGAGTTGTGGGTAGAGATACTGTGTCTTGAGGTAAAGAGGGAAAGCTTTCAGGGTATTCTGAGGGGGTATGCTTTTTTAACTGCAAAAGCTTTGTCTCATGCAGAGTTTCGGTTAAGGTATAGTTCAGTAAAGGATAGTAACTTGGTTACTAAATTACTTAAGCACATTTGATATTTAAAAATAAAATAACTGAACTTTTGAAAACTCCTTGCTAGCTAATTTCTCCTTTTCTTTACTGATCTCCTTAGAGATTTTTTTTTTTTTGGCCAGGTAGTACCTTTTTTTCCTCTCTTTTATTCTTCCAGAGCACTGGGTACATGCCTCTATTTTGATATTGATTAGTTTTGGGATTCATACTGTCTTGTAAATTTTGTTGACAGTGAGTTCTCTTTCTCTAGTGTGCATGTGCTTTGAAAGCAGGACTTAAGTCATCCTACCCCATGTTGTAGTGTTTGCAGTGGGCCTGGAACCTTTAGGTAGTGGGCTGTGTTTGGTGATGGGTGTCAGTGGAGAAATGCCAGGATGTATTGAAATTGACCTAGCAGTAGTAATGGAAATGTGTTCAGAGTTAAAACTGTGTGGGCAAAGGGAAGAAGGAGAGGGATGTTCCAACAGGCAGCATTAACTTGCTATCTTTGTT